CTGACCGACTTTTCACCCACGTTTACGGCCGCGAGCCCGTTAGAGTCACCTGAGCGATTCATCTTGCCCACCATCCGGCCGCTTGCCAAGCGAAATAATAAGAGTGGTGGTGGTAATGGGAGTGAGGCGGTGGTGGACAGCCGACGGGAAGGCGCCCAACGAGAAGAGGAGAATAATAGCAGTGGGAGTGAGAATCGGACGGGGTCGGTCCCGGGCAGTGCTCAGGCTTCTCCACTAGCCCGTCGTGTGCTCACCACCAACAACACCAACAACTCCAATTCCCACGACAACAATGTCTTCCGGAAAGACTCGTTGACGGATGGGACCAAGAGTCCCGGGTCAGGATCCATGTATTCCTCCTTGGACACTCCAGATCTATCCCCAAGGAACGGCGCAAAGAGGTCGAATAACAATACGTCGACGGAATCCTCCACCCCCGAATCCTTCGAAATCATCAATCCAATCCGGCACCTCGAGAAACAACAACAGCAACAACCTACACGCTCGGATTCTCCCTACTCCTTTTCGACGACGTCGTCGCAGCGCCGACACCGCGAGTTGCCCAAGTCGGCCGTGCCCATGTCAGCCGTCAGCCCGCAATCGACCAGTTCGATCGACCATTACCTCGATTCCATCTCGTTCAGTAACAACTCGGGTTCGATATCAGCCGAGCCATTGGAGAGGTGGCCAGTCGGTCCTTCCCCTCCTCCCAGTGAGAACCCGTTTAGCGCGAGTGCGATGGAGGCGTTTCGAAAGGCGCATCAGGGTGTGAGTACGTTTGCACCTAGTCATATGCCAGCGTCCGCTCCTGGACCTGCTGAAACCACCACCACCACCACTACTACTACTGCTAAGGTGGCGCCGAAAAAGTTGGTGTTCCCACCGTTAAAGGTGGAGGAAAAACCCGAGTCGATGAAAGAGGTCAAGATTCTTACGGCTTCCATTCGCGAGAGGAGGAATAGCATGCCTTCGCCTAGTGGACTCTCTCCCGACTTGATGAATCGGAGACCGTCGGCACCGTCTCCTTTGACGGGTGGACCTTCTACCATCTTGTTTACTCCTTCGGCACATCAGCCTCTCCACGCGGCCCTAAGCTCTTATAGCTCTTCAAGTATGTTCATTGTCTCTAGAAAAGAATGTTACTGACTTTTGTAGCGGGTTTACCTACAGGTAGACCCCGCGCTCTGGACGATTCAAACATTCGCGGATCCAACCTGTCCATCAAGACGGACCACATCCGTACCGCTCCTCGCCGTGGTCTAGTCCCCTACACCCCCTTTTCTCAAGGCTCCGACTCGTTCAGCCCCGCCACCGCCCTCCTCACCGGAGCCAAGAGCAGCAAGATGCCATTGACAGGAATCAAAACGTCAATGGTCCCCAATAGCGCCCTCTCCACTTCTGTATCTGTCAAACTCGCCACTCGAGCACGCACACGACCTCCCAGCGGGCCCCGTAAACCCCGCCACTCGAATTCGACAAAGTCCAAAGACAAGATCCCCATGATCCCCATGATCGAAGAGTCGGTTTTATCCACCAGCCGATCCCGCTCCGTCTCCGAGTCCCAGGCCAGGGCGTCCATCTCACCTTATCCGCCCACTCCGACGTTTGAAACGCAGTTGGTGAGGTTTAAAGGGTTGACGTTGGATGTGGCCAAGTGGACGTTTTCCCAAGAAGAGTTGCAAGAGGTGACGAGGCGGGCGATTTGTCATTCGTCGGATCCAATGTCGATTCGGTTGTTGCCCGCCAAGATTCTCGATGAGGATATCCCCGCGGAATTGGAGAGGCTGGTGTTGCAGCGGGAAGAGCTCAAGGCGAATTACAAGTATCAGTATAGGAGGAGGATGGGCGTTTTAAAGTCTTTGAGCGCAATGTCGGAGCATCCAGAGGGTACGATGAATGGATCGGTCGCGGCGAGGTTGGTGGAGGATTTGATGGATATTGGAATCAAGTCGGACCAGATTGGTGAGGAAATGTATGTCGTTTCCGACCAGATTGCCCAGTTGCGCGCGTTGCAAGAGAGCCATTCGGCGTCTGCGCTCGCCATGGCCCTTCGCAAGATCAACTCGAGCTTTATCAAGGTGCAAGCAGAGGTGGCGGACCTAAAGTCGCAGGTGGCGGATGTGACGGCGGAGAGGGAGGATGCGTG